CACAGCCTCTTTTTTCCGGTCTTCCCGGTCTACCAAGGACCCGGCCTGCCGAGACCAGGGAGTCTGGGTCCTCCGGAGGACCCGTCCTGCCGTTTTGGACACAGCCCATGTTAACGCACATAGCAGTGCAGCAAGGAAAAATGTCCCCCGGGAAACAACAGTTCACTGGCAGCCGCGACGAAATGTTCCGCTATTTAAACCGGAATGTTTGGTATTCAAGAAATTCACATCATAAAAATAAAAACCGGTATTCGGTAYAAAACGGTATACCACCCAGYACTACTCACAACGATACATTTCAATTCACATTTAACTACAAGTCACATCTTAGCTCTGCTAACTAAGGTCACAACATGTTTTCACCACGTTTATTACTGTAACACATTAGATTACGAGGACTGAAARGCCTGGTTTATTAACAGTATCTGTGGCTGTTTCTGAAATTTCCCATGGTTGCTAATCAAATTACGATTCACCACTGTATGCCTGTCCAGATACTAACTACAGTGTGTACTGAGCAGAGTACGTGTCTTTGTTTCAGTCAGTGAGTGCAGTGTTTGTTTAAGATAACAAGAAGGTATAGGTCAGGGGTGAGCTGGAGAGGCTCGTGTTTCCACTGCTCCTCAATGCCCAGGTCTGAAAGCTGCGGCCAACACGGCCTATTAAAAGATGTGCAACGTATTCAGAGAATGTCAGCCGCAACCAATGAAAACAAGGCCCAGCACACAGCAATCTGGTTCCCAACATGCACCCAGAACAGCCAAACACTTGGCTGGGATCCGACTAAACAAGCCAGCAGGGAACGGCTGTAATCTTTGTACTCGTAAAGCAAGGTCAACTTTGAACAAAAAAAAAAAGAGGAAAAGTGTTACCCGAACACTTCCCTAATCTCAGCTACTCAATATTTCAACTTGACCGTGTCTTTAGATTTTAAAACAGTCAGCTGTTTTTACAAAGATAAAACGAATAACATGACAAATACAAATGAAAGTACACACGAGCACAAGTTTGTAATCTGAAGATCAGCAGCCATGTTTTCTCTGTTTGCAGTGAACACTGCTGTGGCTATGTCAGGTTAGAGCAGCCAGTCTTTATTTTATTTTCTCTCAAATCTAAACACACACACTAATGTTAAACCTGACATGATTAAACTCTAACACAGCTGTCTGACTGAACATGGTTGTGGTAGAAATATGTTCTCACACTGAAATGTTACATAACAAAGTGTGTCTTCTAAATGTAACGATACCACACTAAAATAGCATTCTGCAATACCTAAATAAAACTTTGATCAGACCAGTGATTCAGGTTTAAACAACAAATAAGCTTTAATAAAAAACCCTTTCTACAACCATTTGCTTTAACCGACACCGAAACTGGGGGGTTGTTGGCTGGTGGGGGAGGTGAAAACAGCAAGTCACTAAACCAACAGCTCAGGCTTTCTCTCTCTCACACACACACACAAACACACACACGGCTAAAACAGGCACAAAATGACCATTTATAACTTTCACTTTGAAGGCGAGAATGACGCCGGAAAACAAACAGTTTATGATGCACGGTCAGGCACCAAATTTACCAGAAAATGACTGGTTTTAGTGGAGGACAGAGCTCCAGTCTGAAAGAATGCAGTGTGTGTGTGTCTGTGTGTGTAGGAGAAGCTCCACGGTGTGCGACATAAATAATGGCTGAAACGGAGTCGCGTACACAAACTTAGCTTCCAGCCTGGCGCTGCAGTTTGCAGGCTAGCTCAGTGCTCGGAGCTAGCAGGCTAAAGCTAAGTGTGGAGAGTCGATGCTGATGCAGTGCGTTCAAGAGTTTATCTGTAAAAACTGCGACACATTTAACTCCCCAAAAACACTCATCACAATGTCAAACAGCACCACAAATCACCAGCATGTACCTAAACAACCCCAGCTTAAATTCACTGTGCGTCGACTGCTTCAAGAACTTAAACCTCACAGTTTTCAGGCATATATCGTGTACTTTACACCTTATTTAAAATGTGACAAAAGCACTTACTGTGTCGTGAAATATGCTCGAGTTGTGTAATATTTAGGGTGTGCTACACCTCTAAGGAAACTACGGAAACTTGTTAAAAATAGAGTTATTTTAATAGGCACAGTCGACTTCCGTTCACAGAATGCTCATTCTGTGTTCAAATAAAGCATTCAACTCATAACTGTAGATAAATGCTGGTTTTCTGTATAAAATTAACTCATCTTTTGCAATGAAATCCTGGACCTAAACGTTACAATAAACATAAAATGTAAAAAAAAAAAAAAAGTGCAATGTTATGTTTGGGTCTACTTGAAGTAAAATGTACTAAAGATAATATAAAAAACGACCAATGTGATGAATTTTCATGGGGAACTACGAAAAAACAACACGAGGACTGATCAAACAGCCACTGAAGATTATTTTAGTCATGGCCCAAAGCAGCCCTGCAAGGCACAGCAGGGACCATACTCACTCTGTAGTTAGCCGATAAACACATAAAAGTCACTTAAAAAAGGAAAACATGCTGGGGACAAACAACTTGTCTGTATAAACTTGTGTGGACGCTATGTTTTTACTAGCTAGGGTTGGTTAGCTTTGTAGCTATGCTAGACTAAAAACATGGTTAAGTTTTGCATTTCTGTCCACGTAAATGTTTAAAAACACAAATTAACACACGTTTAATAGAGTACTCACCTAGAGAGGCATTCCAAACTCGGACAAATGAGGCTAAATCATTTACAACTGGAGGTCCTCGGAGTATCCCAACATCAATTCCACTTAGACCAGCAGTAGGCCCGTGAAGCTGCCTCGGAGTGTCCTGGATCCTTCGCCCGCACGAGTAGATCCCTTCAGGAGGCAAGAAACAAAGTTCTCTGCATTTCTCCCAAATGACGAAAAGTTATATCCCCGGTCCTGTTTAGGTGCACTACATCCATTGAGTGTTTGCAATAAATCCCCGGTAGGTAAATCCAATTACATTAGTGTCTTCTATGTTTATAGTCACTGTTTATTATGGGRTATTCGCTGCTGAATGTGATACAGGGCACCGACTCTGTCTCGGGTCCTTACGTCTGCAAAGGTACCCATCCCCCTCCACGCCGGCATCGACCGCAGGCCCCAGCGAAACTGACACACAATCACAGTCCGGGGTTTCCCGAGCGACAGCGCAGGGGCGCCCTTCTTGGGCGGCCCTTCCACCCAAGTCCCGCCCCTCGTCGTTGATTCGACAACACGGTGTCGCTGATTCGGCGTAGCAGGAATACGTTGAGGTCATTGGTGGATTAAAGCGTCACTCATCCGGTTCTGTTTGCTACGTAAAACAGGGCGAGCACTGCTTCGACCGGGAGCGTAAAAAGTTATATTCTACTGTAAGAATTCAGCGGCGTCGCACGCGAAGGAGAGCTTTACAGTGTCTGGATCCGAGAGGGCAGCTTACACCAAACGGATTTATATCTTCACAGTTGCGGAAATATTCGTTATCAAATTTCCATGGAATTAACTTTAATTCAATAGTGGGATTACTGCTTTTTGACGTATGGCTAACCTTCCTTTGTCTGCGGCGGAAGGACCTTTTTATCATGCTGTACATAAGCGTTAGCCGCACGGGGTCTCTAGGGCCCAGTTTCAGGGCTGACAGAGGCAGGGATAGCCCACCCGGGTCACCCCCACCCACCGGTGTGTGTCGTTCGGCTTGAATCTGGGGCTGAACGGGAATATCAAGCTGCTGTTCTGGCTTATAGCCGTTTTCAAACCAAGCATCTGGCAAAAACAGTTGAAATGAGTGACTAAAATAAACTCTTGGAATTGAGATGCGACTGAACGAGTGTCTTTTTGTTTTATCTGATAATTCAGGGTTGAATATCGTCTCGTGATCCAACCATCCGCACAGAAACCAGTAAATATCCCCRCAGGTACACGTATGAACTAAATGTGATAACGTCAGCGAAACGGTGCTGTCATCCGATTGGCTCCTCGTCACGTGATTCCGARACAGCTTCTGATTGGACGAGATAATAAAACACTAACGTCATTTGTTGCGGTGGGGGGTTGGCAGTAAAATGGTGGCTGTTTGGTTTACACAAAGGATTTAACAGTCTGTGATCACGTAGTCCGCCTTTTCGCTTAAAGCAGATCACCAGGACACTGATTAAAGATTTACCGTAACAGTCAGAGCGAATAACCCGAAGCTTTCCCCGCAGGATTAGTGGGTGGCCCGGGTTTAGGTATTTTTACCGACCCGGAAATAGACTTAATGGCGTTGGTTTGCCTCGTCATCCTCTTTGGCTCATTGCCACTATCACTGCTGAAATCACTAGACAGCAGGCAGATCTGAACAACAAATCTGTTAGGATTCTCAGCCGGACTACCCGGTTTGGTAGTTTCTTTGTTTCATAAACACTGTTGAAACAAAATAAAAAAAAAATTGACATGCAATTACCCTCCCCATGCTCCCACCCGCTGTTTCACTATTTTAGTAATAACAATAATAATAAAAGTTGTTTATTTATGTGGGGGTATTTTATTAGTCACCAATCAGAAACACTGATGCAAAGACTATTAAAAAAAGGTTTCAAAGAATAAACATCATGAAAATAAACAAAACTTTAGAGTTCAAAGTGTCTTCTTAGGTTAACATGTTACATTGCATGCACAACACGTCATTGGTTTGTTTCTACAGCAACAATATATGATGTGACCATATTCTACGAGCTGATTTCCACCGGCCGGCTCTAACCGTGTCAGAACCTGCTCGTTGGGTGAAGACAACATACATGGTGGTGCAGAGGAGGCAGACACGTTAAATCAGGAGCCTTTAAAGGACAGCTACGTACAGACAAAAAGACTTAAAATGACTTATATTCTAGCAGTTACGCCACATAAATATGAATGTCACAAAAGAAAGATGACTGCCTTTGTCTTGCTTTGAAGAGCCAACTGAGGAGCTGACAGAAAGGTGGAAACAAATGGCTGGGTTTTTGTGTTGGGACATGTTGTTCTCCAACATTCTTCACCTCTGCTATTTAAGGGTTTTACACTGAAGCTGGGTAACAAACGTCATGCTGCTGAGAAATGCTGCCCTCTCCTGGATGCCTTACAGAGCCCCTCCTCAGCCGTCCACCAGCTGGAGCCTCAGAGCAGCTTTAAACTGCCGGTGACGTTGTTCACCATCTCCTCTTCTCCCACCACAGCCAGGACCGTACGGGAGCCAGACTCCACCTACGACAGACAGCAGGACAGCTGCTGAAGGTACAGGTGTTCACATCAGGAATCTGAACTTCATGCACACACATACCCGAGTCAGGCCTGCATCTTGGACCAGGTAGGTTGGCAGGTTGAGGCTCATGGCCAGGGCCTGCAGCTCTAACAGATGGGCCACGTTGGTACCTTGAACCACCACCTTCTTGGCTCTACAACAACGTGATTATGTCAGATTTATYAYCAAATTACACCAAAAATCACAAGGTGTCTTTGCACAGTTAGTTTTAGTTTTTATAATTTTTAAACTAAAAGTTTAAAAATACATTACACGGACRGGGCCATTTTATTCACATGCAAAGCATTCTGGGTAAAYGATGACATCAACTAGGTCATCAGTGGGAGGCTGCTAGYGAGCTAWATMYACCCTGAAGGTTAATCTTGGACAATATCTGATGATCGGCTCTTTTAAATGAAACCAGAGAGCGTTGACAGAGAGGAGAAGGTAGACATGAATCAGCCTGGAACTGAAAATATGGATGGAGGACAACAGAGCTGCTTCATGGAAGAAGAACCTCAGCTTAGCCTGTTAGCTTTAGCGTTAGCCCCAATGCTATCACCATATATGTGTTAGCTCAGCGCTACACATTCTCCTCTCATCACTGAGGTCCTCCATCCACATGACAGAGAGGGGAACACAAAAATGACTCAGCCTGCAACTGAAAATATGGATGGAGGACCTCAGTTTAGCTTGTTTGTCGCGCTAGCGCTGAGCTAATACATATAAGGCAATATAGTGTGAGGGCTAACAGGCTAAGCTGAGGTTCTTCTTCCATGAAGCAGCTCTGTTGTCCTCCATCCATATTTTCAGTTTCAGGCTGAGTCATTTCTACCTTCTCCTCTCTGTCAACGCTCTCTGGTTTCATTTAAAAGAGTCGATCATCAGATATTGTCCAAGATTAACCTTCAGGGTGGATATAGCTCGCTAGCAGCCTCACACCGAGGACCTATCCACGTCATCATTTACCCAGAATGCTTTGTGTGTAAATAAAATGGCTCTGTCCGTGTTAAAATATATTTAAAACATTTACAAAACTAAACATCCTACAGTATTTTTACAGTCTTTATTTTAGTTAAAATATATGTTTATCAAATGAATTTTAATGTTACAACTAATCGTGGATCCCTTTAACTAAACAACAGTAGCCAGCTACCAACATGCTAACAAAMAGCTAGCATTAGCTTGCTGTTCTCTGCCATACTTTTYCTTCAGGTTTGGTGTWGTCCAATATTGTTTTGTCACAAATAAAACTAAATCAGATCAGGSATGGTTATGAAGCAGCTCTGTACTCAATCTAAACTGAACCAGGGCCAGAGTAGAGTAAAGCCGGGGTGGGAGGGGTGGGCTCTTTAATGCAAAAACACCTAAAGACAGACAAGAATATCTTTACTGTCTTTGATTTTAAAAAAATCTCTCAGACACCTGCTTGGGTTTTAATGACACTCTCAAAAAATAAGTATTGGATTGACATTTTTAACTGATTCGCTTTTAGAGTCAACCCAAATCAAGATGGCCACCACAAAAAAGCTAAAACTGTTCATTTTTTCTACCAATATTAAGGTAAAACTTGGTGGGTTAGGAGCTGACACTGATCCCCAACACAGACTCTGACAGCTAACAGATTGTGTAAGATGCTAGGCCTTTAACTCTAAAYCMTTTTCTTCAGTTCAAATGTTGGTTAATATAACAAACATGTAGCTAACTCACTGTGAGGATGAATAGAACAGGCCTTACCCACTGTGGTCCCACTTCCAGGCCATCTCCCTCCAGCTGGTCTTCTCCTGCAGGACCTGGTACAGCCCCACAGCAGCATGGGCCACCTGGGCTGCCACCTACACACACACAGCACTGAGATCAAACCCACCTGAAGTCACACGGGTGGGCTGGACTGACCGCTCTGTAAACAAACCCACCCTCTCTAGGAAACAACAAAAACAGCCTACATGCTAAGAGACAAGAGGGTTTGTCTCATTAAAGGAGCAGATTTCTCCTAAGATGCTGATCAGGGTGTCGTGAACGACGTAAACGGGACTTTTCTACTAAAACATCTCGCAGACTTGTAGATAAAGTTGATAAAATGTGTACGAGTGAACTTTGTACTGTTCCCCATCATGGAACAAAGACAACATCAACCTGTAAACAGCGGGAATAAACAAACAAATAAAAGTCTACTCAGGTTGTTTTCTGCTATATGCCGTTTGTGCTGGGACATTTACACGATGAAACATGTTGCAGTAAAGCTGTGTCGTCTACATGACTGTCCTTAGCAACGACTTAAAAAAATTTCATTTGTGTATTAATTTCTAGTGATATTGATGCTAATTGTGTTAGCTTTTATATGGTGCTTTCAATGTTAAGACAGCATCTATGCTAATTGTTGGTCTGCAATTTTGATATTCATCAAAAATAATAAATTCAGTAATTTATTTTTGTGCACTCTTCACTAGGAAAAACACATTTAAATGAGTGTTTGTCYATGTAAAGTAAGCCATGGTCATTTAGTTTTAAAAATTATCAGAATGCATGAATAAGAGGTTTAAAGATCCACACACATGATTCTTATGTCTGCCTYCAACCCAGAAACTCACTGAGATGTTTAGCTTATTTCTTGCAGACACTGGAACAAACCATTTAACAACTATATGGGCCCATTATGAATTCAAGTATATATATATATTTGCCACAGAGGCCCATCTGGAGTTACCTTTCCAACACCCATGCCAAGGTCCATGTTAACCACAAACACCATTTTGAACCTGAGCTCCTCCCCCTCCTCCTCCTGTGTCAGAGCAAACACAAACATTGAGTTTTGGCTTTGGACAAGCTCTACTAGGTCTGACGAACCAACGTGTACCTGTGAAGGACTAAGGCTAGCTTATGGGCACCTCATTCTCCAGTTTGTTGAAGTAGTACATGGCCGCCTCTTCGGCAGACACGTTCCGAGTGTGCACGAGTGCCTGAAGAGAAGAGACGTGGAAAAAGGAGGTCAGGAAACACAACACTCAGGTCCACCAGAAGATTTACATCCATCATCGTGCTGGACGAGAGGGAACTATGTCACACAGTGAAATAAATAATAATAACCACAGACTATTAATATTCAATGTGTGCTTAACAAGAAAAAAACATTGTTTTAGACCAGGGCTATTCAACTGGCTGTTTCCCAAGTTCAGCCAATTGGTTCATTCATCTCTTCAGGCCAAACTCCTGGTTTTCTGCTTTAATTACTCTAAGTTCTGTTAGTTAAACATAGACATGTTTGGTATCAGAATCTTGGCTAAAAGCTGGTAAAAACATTTCTATGAACACTCAAGACAGTTAAAACTACAAGTAGTTGATAATAAAACCATGAGAGTGAAAATAAAATTGTTTTAAAATTTAGGCAAATCAGAGATGTTAAAATAATATTTGTGTTAATTATGAGACATATTGGGCCTCATGCAAGAACCATTCGTACGCACAGATTTGTTCTTAAGTTGTGCGTACGAGTGATTTAGGAGAATTTGTGGCATTCACCAATGTTTTCGTTTTCTAAGATTTTTTTCAGATACGAACAAAATTTGGTTCAATAGTGGTCCAGACCTGTCGTATATTTTACGAGCAGTCAGTCTGCTGTTATCCAGACGGGTTTTCTTCACTAATAAC